TTGCATGCTGCAGGATTACCTTATAGTTGCTGTTGGCAGCCTCATGTGGTTTAGAGATGCTGTGTTCCCAGGCTGTTCCAGGTTCCAGGCAGACTGGCTGCTGGAATAGTCACCAGTTTTAGTCAGTTGCACTTCAGGGCCAGAAATGGAGTCCAGTTGTTTTGCAGTCGCATTCTGGTGAGTTGCAGGATTGCTTGCATTCCCCATTTATGCTCCTGTAGTTTTACCTGTAGTTGCCTCTTCAAGGGTCACAGTTTGGATCTGTTTGCCACAGGCTCAGGATATTGCCCTATTTGGGGTTTTTTTTGTGCAGTTTGCTACCTGTGCATTAGGACCTAGTTGCAGTACACAGGGGATTTCAGTTGGAGCAGCTAGTGCAGAGGGTGGTTCTGAACAGGTTTCCTCTGTTGAGGGTTCCTCATTAGGAAAGAAGCAGAATTCCATGCCGGGGAAGGAAAAACTCCTTACTTTGATCAGAGGACATGAACGTTTGAGTTTACCCAATGTGTTTAGCAGCACAGGTGATACCCCTGGCAAAACTTAAGAGAAAAATGAAGACAGTTGCACTCAATTAGGGACCACCCCGTCCCGTCCAGCCACAGAGAGGAGTAGTCATCATGCCAAACACACTCCTTGGACTAACCTGGGAGGGGATGGCTGAATGAAAGATGAAGAACAGTGTTATTAAGAGCTTGAGTGAGAGGCTTGTGGGTTGAAGCTCTGTGGCCAAGCCGTATTTGAACCCTTACAATTTTTGTCCAGCTCTCTGCCTGCCAATGTAAGCTGATCAAAGGCCGTCTGGTGATAAAGGCATCCCTCGGTGTACTACATACTTTCTCTGCCCATTTTCCATATTAATGTAATATTTTTCCATGCCCCAGTCACATATCTTTATTTGACAAACAAATTACTCTAATAAAAAGCTGGCAGAGCAGTTCACAGTGAGTTTCCTAATGACTGTGTGAGTGTGCCAGAGCTGTTGGCAGATGAGCTGCCAGAATAACAAGGTCTCCCAACACCCCACAAAACTGCCAGATGTACCTTGTAATTAAGCATCACTCAGTTCTAAAAGGCAGCCCTCAGTTACTGAGTTCAGCCAACTATAGTATATTTAAAGCAAGACAGAACCGGTGGCATTTGATGGGAGAGTGACTGAATTGCTCACAGTTTAATGACACCTCTTCCTCCACAATGAAGGTTCCCGGTTTCTATGTAAATTGACATGATAGAGTTGTGGAGTTTAATATTACTGAGCAGTTTCAGTGTATTTCAACCCCGTGTATACACTTTAAGGCACAAATGGCTAAAGACTATTAGCAAGAATCATGGATATTTGATGTTTGAGAGAGAAGGCTAAACATTGGGAAATGGAAACTTTGAAGAGCCCCATGAAATCACAATTTCTTCCCTCCAACTGATCCAGGAAACTGTGGTAAGATGACAACCTTCTCTGAGCTAACTCAGAACTTCAGAGGGATAGAAGCCAAAGCATCTCTCTAGGACACCCCTCTGAATTCTGCTAATCAAATTTCTTGCCTTAGACAATCTTATAGTTATTTTACTAATTTAAAAGCATAACTGGTGCTGCGCAGTGCAAATATGGGTTTAGTTCTCTACTCACATTGTGCTGGATGGTCTTTGCTGAGAATTCTAGTGGTGTCATCACCAGCTGAGGTGGCACATGTTGTGTGAGCTCCCAGATGAGAAGCTCTTGTGCTAGACCTGAATCCAGGGGTGTGAGAATGCATTTCACTGTGCCTCTCTCAGTATTTTATCTACATGGAAACGTCTGGAAAAGGGAGAGAAAGTTTAACTGCACTTGCCATTCCAAAGTGGTGTTAAGATCCAATGGGTAAGTTCCAACATTTGCTGGTCTGAAATAATAGGCAAGAATCTTGTTCTTTTGAGACAGCCAGCTATTTTTTCCTTGATTTTAAATTTGGATGTTGCCTTTGATATGTTACCTATCAGGGTATACTTTTGGCTGCTTATCCTTTTTTCTCTCAACACTTCTGCTATACTTGTATTATTGTGCTCATCTGTGAATAAAATCATGTAAAAACACATTTTAAGTTGGCGGTGATTTCTTTTTTGGCAGACCCGCTGTGGAGCAGATTTTTGGCAACCTGAGGCATGGGATCTGAGGAAAATATGCTTTAGGAGTGGACTGTGCAGTGTTTCAAGCGGGAGTGTCTGCGTGGATACAGGTATTACATGCTATCTAACCTCAGGGCCAGAGGACAATCTCAGGAATGTTTAACTGCTAAAATGGTGGCCTCCATGGAGTTCATGGAGAATTAATTTCTGTTAAAGGTGACGTTATTACAAACTGAAGCATTTTGAAAGGAGAATCTTTCTTAAACCAAGTGCAATATTACATGACCATACCACCAAACCCATGTGGTCCTGCACTGTCTGTGGAAGCTTAACATTACCAGCTTCCTTAGAGAGGAGGAAGAAGGGCACTAAGATACACACAGTAATCCTGCTTCATATGTAGGGGAATTCTGTTTTGAACCATCCTAACAGGGGGAAAAATCTGCTGAGTCCATTTCTTCAAGTTTTCTACCTACAGCAGTGGCAGGGGCAAAAGGCAAGTGTGATGCAGTCCCTCCCCTCTGCTGGGGCACCAGTGGTATTGGAACAGTGACAGTGTCTTCCAGAAATTCTTTTGAGTGTCAATCTCAAACTTTATTGCTTGCGTTGCGTACAAATGCAGTAAAATCATTCTCTGAGCACACGCTGTACTTTGTCTTTCCAGGTGTTTGCCACACCCAAAACAGGTATCAAAACTATTCAGGATGAGAGTCTGAAATGAGAACATGGGCTGCTGAAATGCACGGCAAGGAAAAACCCGGGAGAAAAACATGACAGAGGACTTTACCGTCTGAACCTCTTGTACCTGCAGAAGAGTAATTTCATAGCAGTGGAAGCTTGTTCCTGAGTCTTGGAGAGAACTTTAACAGCTGGATTGCAGGAAAACAGTGAAGTGGCAAAACTTTGACCATATGTACAGAATGAGCTTAAATATTTCTTAAAGAAAAGATTGGTTGAGTTGAACATCTTTTGGGAAGCAAACTGAGGAAAAACAATGATGGAGTGCCTGATCCGTAGAGCTGGGAATTATTTGTGTCTTTATCCAGAAAATTCAGGTCCAATTTGCTCCGTGTTTGGCATGTCATTGGGAAATTGCGGGATAAATCTATGCTTTTGACATATATCAGGCATATGTAATCATAATATCCCATCTGGCTCTCTGCTGTTAAATTAGAGATTTCTTAGAAGAAAAAAGGCAACCTAAAGTGAACCCACAGTCCAATAAGCACTCGCACCCAAGTAATTGGATCAACTATCCTGTAATCCAGTAATGTTAGCCAGGCTGGTTTTCAACTTAAAGAAGAGATAAATAAAATATAACCCATCTTTTTTTCTCCCAAAATAGGCCATCTGAGCTTAGAGAAATCAGCATAGAACACTGTCTAGAGGACAATTTGTTTCAAAGCAAAGGAAGAGGTTTTGGAAGAGGTCACACAAGTGCACAAGGACAATTGGTAAAAGCAGACCAGCTAGAATGTGATTTGATTTATTTTGGTTGTATAGTCCTGAAAACCCACACCAAGATGGTCTTTGAACTCTAGACGTGCTTCAGTCTGTACTGTTAAAGTTGTCTTTGTGGTCCCTGATGGTCTTTAGTCTGTTGGCATCTTCCTCTCAAACAAATGGAGCATTACAGACATTCCAAATGCATTTCTTCATGTATCACTAGGTCAGTTTGATGCAGTAGATGAGGTCTGAGCATGCATTAATTTTCAAAGCTTGAGGAGATTTCTTGATCTTTCAAGCCCCTACTGAAACTTACCACTAAAATGTCTCATATTTATTTCTAGAGTTGCAGGTTTACACCAATGCATCACTCAACTTCTTCTTTTGTTTTGAACTGGTGTGGAGAATCTGAAATGTCATCAAACATTGTGTGACTATAGGACATCAGGATAAAGCAGCAGGTAAGAAAGTATTTTAACCACCAGGAAAACTCTGATAATTTTCTGTCTGAGGTATAGGACCATACAAATAAAAATTGCATAAGAGTTAACTGGGCCTCACTTGCTAATTAGTGACCCTATATGTCTTACGTTCACAATTCAAATTTTAGAGGCTGACAGCTGTAGTTTATCTTGTTGCATATCTTTAAATGCAGAGTGAACGGGTTTCAAGGTGACTGTCACAATGCATAGCTTGATCCAAAGTCTGTAATTTTAGCAATGTTTCTGAGAATTACTGTACCTCATTTGCAGGGAGAAATAACCTCTAATGGGGTATGTGTATAGAGAGAGAGCAGGCCCATGGGTTGGAGGCAGGTGCTACTGTGGCACCTGTTCTTCAGGAGAATGGAGCAGGATGATGGAAGGCTGCTGTCATCAACATTTTTCTGCTCAGGGTTGTCTTCTCATGACCATCTGACTCTTATTAGGGTGCTTATTGTAATCTTCAAATACAGTAAACCCAAGGTTTTGACCTCCAAGTCTCAGATACCTTATTTATGCCTGCCTTCTGAATTAATTCAGATTCTGAGTTCTAGGGACCATTTGTAAAAGGGGCAAAAAAAACCTCTGACAGTGTTGCATAGATAGGAAATAGGTTGCTATTTTAACCAGGGAATCTTAATAGGTATCGCAATATGTGGTCAAGACCATCTTCATCCACTGTACAGTTTGTACAGGTTCAGTAGTCTGAAAACTATGGGAGCTGCTTCTTGTAAAATGAAGCAGAAGCTCTTAAATTACCTGTGAAACTTCTCTTTAGGAAAGTTAGGTTGAAAATTGTCATTCTTCCTTTTGAATAATACATATAATGCTCTCATTATATTATAGTGAAATGTATCTTGATTTTTAAATCTCGTAACAAGGCCTATTTCACTTTGGTTGTATTGTCATCTTTTGGTTCATTTCACTGCAATGAAAATGAGAATTTCAAACTAAAAATGAAAACAAGGTTTCCAATTAGTAGTAAGTAACAGTCTCCTTTACTGATTACTTTAAAATAAAGACAAGGTATTTCAACTATTCACAAATATTTCTGACATATCACAAAGTAATGTAAGAGAAAAAGATCATGATCATATTTGAAGCAAAACAGTTTAAAATCTAATGTTTACAAATGCCTTGGGTTTTTGCTTTTCAAAATGTTTGCTGGTACAGTTTTGCAGGAGATTCTCTATTTGGTCATGTACATTTCTGCTATACACACTCTGCTTTGTCCTGGTGGACAAATGGGAAAAGTATTTTCAAAGTGCTACTTCATCAGAAACATCTAATATGACATCTAATGGTTTTGCAATTTTATCTCTGTGGACTTTGTGTAAGACTTTGCATGAATTTTTTTAATGATGGTTTTATAACATGATATGCAGCTGACATTTATTTTACACTGTATTTAAATATTCAAAAGATCTGAGACCCATTTCTTCTATTATGTACATTTTGAAGCTTTAAGGCTGCACCATTAGCAACATTTTACGACTCTTGTCATTTTCTTAAATGTTACAATTACTTTGTCAAATTTAGAATAGTTAGCAGTGATTATGATGCTGCCTATTGAAAAAATCCCAAACCAAACAGAAGAATTTTCTGGGAAACTGCACACCATATGCATGATACATAACTAAATAATTAGTCTAAAGTTTTGATAAATACTTATTTCCAACTAGAGCTAATAGTTGTTCTAGTTCTAAAGGATAAAATTTTTATTATATACAGAAGATTGGATGGAATATGGACACTTGACAAAGATCACTCAAGGCATTTCATGGTCTGAATTGTTTGTACAGCGTTAATGCAGCTGCCCTTTTTTGCTTATTGTTTAGGCTTGTGCCACCCGTGGGAAGGGAACATTCCTGATGGTGTCAACAGGCTCCACCTTACAAGATCCAAGTTCATCTTCTCCCTGCTGCTCAGTTTGCAACTGAACCAGGAGATTCTTGCAGGATTGAGAGCCTTGCTTCTGAGCTAGATGCAAACTGGTACACCATTATCAGATGCCAGTTTATATCAGGTGAGTGTTTGGTCTTTTGCCCTCAGGACATTACAACATGAAGAACTGCACCAGCATTTTTCAATGAGCACCATTAACTGACTTTGGTAACTTGGCATCACCAGCGGTATTGAAGAACTCCTGTCTTGTACAATAAGAAGTACAGCTGCCAATTACCTTGCAACTAGAGTCTGTAAATATTAAAAACATAAATATGTTAACCATACACATATACACAAAACATGGCAGGAGCAATATTACAGGATGCAATGCCTACTCTAGATAACTGGGTTTTGTTAATACAGATGCAACAGCAAAATAAATGCTATTTAATACAAAGCAAACCCTTCTTCAAAGGTTAGTGGCAGAAAGCCAAAGTTCAGGTCCAGGCTTTCACTGATCCGGTGTGACTCAAGCTAGATCAATCCCACTGTCTGTTAAATCTAATCAATGAAAGACTAGCACTGTGGGAAGTTAATGATTATCAGTTAACACTAAAACTTTGAGCTGGAGCTTCCTTCTGCCACCATTTGTAATTAATTCTCCCTTTTTCATGAGTGCTCTTTCTGTGAACACTCACCACAGGGGATAAAGTTATTACATAGAAACTATGTAATTAAGGGTAAAGGATTAATAGAAAGAACCAGCCTGAGATTGGATTTCCTGAATCCTGGGAGGTGCTCTCCACGTATTTAAGTGAAGTTTCCATGAGATTGCACTTAGCAGACCACTAAGAAGTTGTTGCTCTCCCACTTTTTCTTCTCATTCATGCAGTTGTGTTTCAAAGCTTGGTAGGAATTGCATGAGAAGGGCTAGAGGAGATGACTGTGCTGGTCCATTGTCTTTGCTAATGCTCTTCAGAGCAGCGTCCTCTCCTCAAGATCACATCATCTAGGCCAATATCCCCAGTTCTTCCTTTCCCTTTCTCTCCTTTGAAAATAACCTAGGAAGAGAAACAGAACACTTTGAGGGGGGGGTGAGGAGGAAGTAAATTGAAAGAAGCATTGGTTTAGAGAGCCTCAACACTAAGAAAGCAAAAGCCTAAGAACGCTCAGGCAATCATAACTGACCCACAAAAGCCTATTTACTCTGCTTAGAATTATGGCTGCATTTTCCTATTTTTGATCCTCTCCCTTCTTCTCTTTGGCAGATCTTTGTGAAGAAGCAGTAGTTCAAGACAGAGCGGCTCCAGTTAGGCCACCTGCTGGGGTGAGATGAACTTCCGCAGAAGAGAATCTTGAGGGCTTTCTACATATCATCTCTGCACTGTTTCCACTGTCACTCATGGAAACGTGAAATCCTCTGTGTTCTCTAAAACGCTGCCTAGAAGAGGAGCTTTCCATTGCTAAAGGACATTGCAGCTGCCTTAGTTGTGGGAACTAGAAACACCCCTCTTTTATTTAACCAATTTGGGGTCCTGCAGTCTCATGATAATCTTCAGAAGCACTGATTCCTTTTGAAATAGTGGCAGAACTTTGGGCATGGATTTACATAGATCATCAGCAGTCCAGATTTAGCCTAAGCAGAAGAAATTCAACACACAGAAGGCCTGACTAAAAGGACTGGAGCACAGATTAAATATTCAGAATGGCCAGCTGACTTTAAGAAACACAGTAGTAGTCACCTGTGCTTCTTCTGTGGATTCCAAAGCCTAAATTATTTAATATGGTTTGATGTTTTAATATGTTTGACCAGGGCTTAAAAATTATTTGATGCCTACAGCAAAACATTGTAAGAGTCTCCTGTTATCATTGAGCTGGGAAGAGTTAATACTGCCAGAAATGTGAAACTTAGCAAGAAAAAAGGTAAGAATATGGCAAATGTATTGTTCAGCTGTTACAAATGTCCACATTCTCAGTCTGACACTCATTTACAGGTCATAAACTCAAGTGTCTTTGATACTGTTGCTGAGGTAAAGTTTTCGGAAAATTATCTGTAGTAATTACACCCTTAATAGTAATTTTAGGACTATATACTGTGTATGTCTTGTAGTCTGCTTCCACCGTGAACATTATGATGTGTGAACTTTTCACACCACCTGATATCTAAGTCAGAATAAAAACAGGCCCTGAAGCACCCAAGCCAGTTCTTCAGATCTGAAATAGAAACTACCATCAAAGGTAAGCAGAGGCTGAAGAATAACACTGAGCTTTTGATATCAGTTTATCCCCCAGTGTTTCTAAGATTTACAGGTATTAAAAGATTCTCCACGGCACTTCAGTCATCTTTTTTTGATTGCACTAAACCATTTTGTATTACAGGCATAGTTAGGTCATAATTTACCTCCTTGGCCAGATCAGCTGCAGTAGGTATGCTGAAGAGCATAAAGCCACATGTGACTACACATGTTAACCTCCCTGCATTACCAAAAACTACTTATTTTCAATATCTTTCCCCTGGTTTAGCCAGTTACAACTAATCCACAGGGGATGATCCTTCCTATTTCACGGCACTGCATTATTCAAAGCATTGTTCACAGGGAATCTTGATATAAGCTTTTGTGAAGTCTACGTACAGTTTGGCTCTGTCCATTAGGCTGCTTTTCCTATATGGTGATTCCCTTAAAATGGGCTGTACAAGGTAGATCAGGAAATCACAAAACAACGTGAGTTGTGAGCTATTGGTGTAGGTGGGGTTTCTTTTTTTTTTTTTTTTTAATAAAACTAATTGGAAAAAAAAATTACTGTCATATCCTTGATATGATTCCATTGGCAGGAATCAAAGTTGTAAAACACAGACTGAAATTGGACCCAGAAGACAAACAAACTAGTACAACACCATTTAAGTGCCTTCAGCCTCTCATGCAAAAAAACCCACAAAGCAACGCAAGCATCAGTACTTACACTCTTGATGCCTAGTCCTCGTAAAGTTATGTGCGTCTGTCTCCAGCCATGGCCCCCGTTTCTTCCCCAAACAGCTGGTCCGTGAGCACCATTTTTCCTTACAAAGACTTGGAGGGCACCAGAGTGCAGTCCAGGCACCTTATGCCTAAACGACAGGCACAAGTCTCTGGCCTGAGCCATGTGATCCAAGGGGAGGATAAGATGTGCCGCTCTTCCTTCTTTGCCTTTGGGATCAGAGATGGTAAGATATTGTCCCCCTGCAGCGGAAAAAAAAGAGTTATTTGGGGGTTTGGGGGGGTTTTTTTGCATTTTTTTTGTTTGTTTTGGTTTGGTTTTTTTAAATTCTAATTGCTTGCAGGACCAAATGCAAAGGAGTTATTAAAACATTAATAAATAAAGGGCTCCACAAGGTCCAGTGAGTGTTAAATAAGGCATACAGAACCAAGATTGGTGCATCTGCCTTCTGCACGGTAAGATTTACAGTGCTGCTCTTCTCTTTACATTAGTACCTGGCTACTAGGTGTCGCCCATCTGATTTCTTTTTGACAAGGCAAATAATACCTCTCTTGAAAACTAAAATTTCATGTATTCCTTCATTTCTGACAACCCCTTGGTGACTGCATGACTTTAAACCCACAGTGGCATTAAAGCCACTGTGTGAATTGACACATCTTTCAAGCTGCAGTGTTTTGCTCTCGAATAGAGGAAGAAAAAGGCCAGAATAAATGCTTTCATATAACTGAGCTATGATTCTGTCCCTTTCCTTTTGTTTGGGAGCTGTGTTAACAGGTTAAGTCTCAAAGCATAACTATTTGCAACCATGGATAGCCTTTTTTATTTAATCATAATTTAAACTCTTGATCTGGATTAGATTCAGAGAGCTAGAAGTAGTAATGATTTCAATATGGCTGTTAACCCTGAAGTCTACTCTAACAGTAGGAAGTTGTCAGTGAACAAACATCTTAATTCAAAACCCTATCATTATCTCTGATCATGTGTGAAGTAAAGGTGCCTTCCAGAAAACACTTGGAACATGAGAAGCTGAGAATCTCAGGTATGGCAACATCCCTTAAATCTTAAAAAAAAAAGAAAAAAAAAAGGCACTTTCCACACCAGCACTCAGAACTGCACTGAATGAGACTTCACATCTTGGAGGAAACCCACACCTGCATTTGTTCTTTGCACTTTTCATTAAAAGTTTTGCAAAGTGGATGGTAACTTTAAAATCGGAAATTATGAAATGGAGGAAGGTTCACTTTTAAAAATTATAAAAAAAACAAAAAAACTTCTTATCTTACACTGAACCCAAGAATCCTTTTTTCTCCACGAGATCAGATTTTAGATTTTTTTTTTCTAATCAAAAATCCAAGTTTAATGAACTTAATAAAAAAATCCGTGTGTTTTAATGAACTTAGGGTAAAGGTGGTATTTAGGGTCCTTAGCTGAAACTGATGATGTACAAATATTGGGAGTTTGTAATATTGTTGACATACACAGTCTTCACTCAATCATAGGGTAAAAAAACATTTTCTATTTAAATTGTCTCCCTGCTACTACTCGACCCGAGCTGTACTTTTTAAAAGCTTCTCTTTGGAAGTCACAATGATTTCCCTCAAAAGCTGTGAGGTTTAATGACAATTAAACCAGGGCAAGTCACACACTTAAAAGGAAAGCCAACCTTGTCTCAAATTCACTACTTCTACACAGGTTTTAAAGTATTTTGGTCTCAATGAGATTTAACAAAGCAAAGTATTAGGGTGCTGTCTGGGCCCTTGGACCAGCATCTGTTAAAGCCTTTTGCTGGGTATTCTTTCAGATTTCCTTTTTTTTTCTTTTTTTTTTTCCTCCAGTATTGTTTTTGCATCAAGGTCATTAACCGCTAAAATAAGCATAATAGAGTTTAAGTAACTGTACCTGTTTGCTGAAGATACAATTATATCACCATAAAAGTACTGACTTGACTCATTAACTGTACTGGTTTCAGATAGTTACTGTGACTGAATCCAATCAATAGGAAGCAGATTTAGGTAAGCCCAAAGCCAACCTATCTGTAGGCAAGCCCCTGCAGGAAAAGGTCCACTCAAATCAGCGTTTTCTGCATGCAAGATAAGCTTATAAGGCTTCAGCACAGCACCTTTCAAAATGCAGATTCTGATAAACCAATAAATAGCAGACTTTGAAAGGTGAAAGCAAACACTCAGGAACAAGCTGTGAAAATAAATCCTTGCAACAAGGTATTCCAGACAGGAGGGAGTGGGTGGGTGACTTCAAGGGACTAGTTTTAACAGGTTATGTCAACAGCAGCAGAACATACACAGGAAACAAAAAGCTGAGCTTGTCCCTGGCTACTGGAAAGCAACACAAGAGAAAAGTCTGACAAAAAAAAAAAAAAAAAAAAAAAAAAAAAAAAAAAAAAAAAAAAAAAAAAAAAAAAAAAAAAAAAAAAAAGTTAAAAATCATAGTTTTGGAACTTAATATATATTAACAGCAATTTTTGAGTATAGATAATAACTATGCTTTGAATGACTGACTTAGAAAGAAAGCATTTTTTAAGCCATTGTTTAAAAAAAAAAAAATAAAAGGTATGACTTCTGTGTGATCATTTTTTAAATACCAGTCTGCAAGCAGGAGACAGCTACGTGTTTTCTCATCTACAGGAGGAAGGAGCTCTGCTCTCCAAGTCACTCACAAGACTTTAAGTGTCATAAGGAGCACCCAAAATACTGGACAATGCCTGTGTGTGGGGAGGGGGCCTGCCCAGCAAGTGAAGACAGCACTTCCCCTTAGCGAGGTAAACAGCCTGGAAAAGGTGCCAGGTCACCTGCTGCGGTGGCAAATGATTGTCTCATCAATGGCAGCATAAGGACAGACATCTGTGATGAGGTGGCACGTAAGGAAAATGGCTCTCGGTGCTCTCACCCTCCCTCATCCTAACCTATAACACTGTACGCCCTGAGAGCGTGGTTCCTTCCTTAGTCTGCCATCCCCTCACATAATGTGAGCATTGTGCACTTCAAAGGCTGCTCTTCTGGGTATGAAGTAATCCCATCATTACAGGGAGCCAGGGATGTGTGTCTAATCCCCGCACCACACCATGGGGCAAGCCCTGCTGGGGGGAAGGGTACGCAGGCAAGGACAGCCAACCTCTCAGTGCCGTACAGTAAAATCAACGGGGGACAGGATACATGCAAGCTCCCAGCAGTGTGGATGTGCACTTCTCCTGGGGCAGCAGAGGTGTGTGAGGGGAAGGGTTGTTGCTTCAGCTGACCAGCATTGTCGATGCCAGTTCTCTCCTGTTCTGCAAGCCACTAGTACACGCTCCCCTGTAGTGTTCTTTGTAAGGTCACTTTCTGCCATCTCAAACAATCCCATTTGCAGAAGCCTCTGCATAAGAGCATTTAACTTCTCTGCTTTCCAGCTACTTAACATTTTTTTTACACACAGGTTGCTGTAGCTTGGAGTAGAATTCAATAATATCAAACTGAGAGGTTAATCTAGAACATTATATTTGGCAAGAGAACAAAGACTGTTTCTAGCACTTTCTGCAATTTTGCTAGTGATAGAGAAATAATTATGTTTACACGGCAGTTTGAAAAAAAAGTTTTGCTTCACCATAAATAAAAGTTGTTCTCTAGTTCATGTTTTTGTTCTATCACGTTCTTTTAAGAAAGATAAACTTTTGCTGAATACATTTACTACTCCTTCAGAGACATTCCTAATTTAAAGATAACAGCTATGATAAAAGTGCAAGTTTTCAACTGCTATTTCATGTTGGGAATCCTCAATTTCGATTTTTATATACAGAAGTGGTGTGGGTGTGAAATATATTCTGGAACTAAAGGGAACAGAAGCTGTGTAATTTGTTCTGATGCAGGAACCATCATGAACCTCAAGCCTGGGTGGTTCTGCAACTGCAGGATGTGATCATACACAGATAACTTACCTGACCCATCTCTCACTGGTTCCCAGTGCAAGTCATCATCTTTGTCCTTGATCCATCCACACAGTCCACTATCAAAATTACAGCTGTGTACCAGCACACCTGGCAGAACAGAGCAGGAGGTCACAAACAAAATTGATTTGAATTGTTTTGGTTTTCAACTTCCCGTATGGCTGACACCAGCAAGTAAATATGAAAATTAAATGTAGAAGAAGAAGCCCCAGAAAAAGAATCTGAAAAAATACTAAAACAACAAGAAAGACACTTTTATTAACAGTTCAGACTATTTTTGTGCTAAATTTGTTAGGAAATAAAACTATAAAGGTTCACATAGGCAGTGGTTTGGGGTTTTTTCTTTTTACAACACATAGTTTAAACAAGTGGCTTAAGATGTAGGAGTCATGTAAAAACGTATCAACCCCCAAGAAATAAAAAAATCCTAAACCCTAGGCCTTGAATACAAGACATAGTCTTTACCTGGGTCGTCGTTTGCTTCAAATTCATCGGCAGTAATCCCTCTTTCAATTTCAAGTATTTCAAACAGATTATTGCTCACTCCAGGCTGGCGTGGAACTGTGAGAAAAACGAATAAGATAAGGAAGTAGGTCACTAACTAACTTCATCTATCTTTAAAAAAAAAACAAAAAAAAACAAAAAAAAACACAGAGCAGCTTTGGACATTGTGCTTTTCTTGAAGATTTCAATATATTTAATTATATTAGACATGAAGACTCATATGTGATTTATGCCTATGTGATTTATGATTTATGTCGTAACATTTAAAGGTGATTCCAAGTCTCCTAAAGGCTCTTTGAATGAAAGCTCCTTTTTAGCCACGGGGGGAAAGCTTTAACCTTGAAGCACACTATTTCTCTCCAAATGTATTTTTAGAGATAGTGGTTTCTCAATAATATAAAGCCACATTAAAGCCCTTGCTCAACCTTTCCACAGGCATTTACAGGAGAACCTCAACAGGAGGCAGCAGTACTTGGAAAAGAAACTTAAACTTTGAAATACAGCTGAAGGTACATCCATCCATTTGCAAAGAAGTAGAGCTCCCTAAACAATTATCAGGATTGTAATGAGAGTTGAGAAGGAGGAGCTCTATTGGAAGCTGGACTTCAACTGCAATTATACTTTTTGCTTTCCAGCACAATCTGTCCCAGCTGCATGGCCCAGAGGTTATTAGACATTCAGCGTCCAGGACAACCTGAAATTTAAGAGGTCTTTGTGGGAATGATGGCTGCCAAAGTCAGGTGGCTGCAAAGACTCCCACATAGTTCTGAAGATGCTGTGCCAGTCTGTGTAAGTCTCCAGAAATAACACGCAGTTGTCTTGCCTGATGGACAGCTGTCAACTAAACAGACTGCACTGAATAGAGCTGTCTTGGAAAATTCCTCTTTTAGAAGCAGGTCTAGTGCATAATTCATAACAGTAGTAATGTGTTTCAGACATGTCCTTAGATGTTATAGGCACCTCTGACACCTAAGGTATTTGTAAGGGCCTTATCTATTAAAAACTTGACACGTTTTCCTTTTGCAGTGCTAAAAAAACTATCTTAATGCCTCAATAGACTTCTGAGGCAAGAGGGAACAAGAAAAATTGAGACAACTGAAATAAAGTACTATTGTTTTGAGAAAATCAAATCAAAAGGTAAGAAGGAACTTCTTTTGCACTAGGACAAGATGTACTAGTACTTCTACACAAGTTCCTCCAAATTCAGAAGACAGAAAAGCAAAAGATTTTTGAAATCAGGACAAAATAAGTGAATAGTAATGTATTTTAAAAGTACTCTTCTAGGCTAAATATCTTGAATTGAAATTTTTTATAATAAAAATAAATAATTAAAAACCTTGAGTCTGTAGGAAACTGATTAATTCCTTATAATAGTAATTTTCTGAATTATTAAGTCTCCCTTTTGTTTTCTTGTTCTTTCCAATACTTTGTAGATTTTAGATAATGTCTACTTGTAGTCTAGGATATTAATGCTCAAAACAGCTTCAGACTTAAGGCTGACGTGGGTAGTAGAGGACTGTTAATTTTTAAAGATACCTTGTTTGTAATAGTATTTTTACTGTTTTGTTTCACCCGGGATTTTTTGCCTACGTTATTGAAAACTTTGAGATTTTACATGAAAGAAACCTTACAAATGGGCACAGTCCACACCGCCCAGGCCAATAATTGCCCTGCAGTACACTGACACACAAATACCGTATTCAATTATATAAACTAAAAAAAAACCTAGCCACTACCTAAGGCAGCAAAGAAATCAAACAGGAATGCTCCAAACCCATCGTTCTCCCTTAATCCCTCCCAGCAGTACACTGCTGTCTTTCCTCAGAGCTCCATCTCATATGAGGGTGGGACAGTTGAACGAGCCCATCCCACAGTGGCAGTGACACCTGCACTAGGGCACATTGATGGTGACACAGGCTGTCCTGACGCGTTTCAGCAAGCACACTCTTACACTGTTACACTTGTGGACAGCCACGAGCAGTAGCTTATGGAGTAGGCACGTGTATGAAGTGTCTGTGAGCACCCAGACCACCACCACTGTGCCACACACAGCAGCTGTCGGCACCATTTAAATTCAGCTGCAGTGGGTTTTCTCAGGAATGCTAAAAACTGGTAATTCCGTTTTCTGGACTTACTGCGGCCAGCCAGCTGGGACAGCAAATTTTGTGGGAGTGTTTAGTTACAAAGTCTGCTAAAATAACAGCACCCTGTCAGTCACTTACTGTCATTTCTGGCAGGGCAGAGCTGTGACTGAAACTTTACCTTATGCAAGCCCTCGCATTACAACCATGCTGCAGGCTGCTGCTCCCTATGGAATGCAGCAGTCTCCACACATGAGACACATCTGTGCTGCACACCCAGGGACTACCACCTTGCCTTTTCTCATCTCAGGCTGCACTAAGGGTGAAAGATACTGTTTATTTTCTATACTGTGAAGAACAAGTTGGCAATTCGCTTCAAAAGTGCTGAGCACAGCATCAGTAGATACAGTAGCTGCTAGTCTGGAACAGACACACTGAAGTATCTTTACATCTGCTGCATCCACACGACACAAGGATGGAAAGAGCTCAGCCCATGGGAGCAGACAGAAAAGCAAGCTGCCCTCTCCCTGGGCTTCAGGATGACTTCAGACTTCAAAGGACCTCACAGACATCACTCATGATCCCCCACGCACTCACTAGCAATGGGATGCTCTTCTCATCTAGGGAAACACAGAACAACACACTGCACCTCCATATCTTCCCGTTCTTCCCCAGCATCTTATGTTTTTTTCTTAGGGACCAAAGGCTCAGACCACAGACTCACAGATAGTTATAGGGTTCTAAATGAGTGCTGTGGCAAAGAGCATTGAAGAAACCCACTGCTATGCTTTAAGATTTGTAGGATACTCAGGGGTCACAGTTTCAAAGTATGTGCTTGTCCTGTGCACCCTCTTCCCAGTCTATCGTAGCCTTTGTTTATGGAAAATACCGCAAGAAATATTATGAATTTGATTTCCAAACTACTACAGTTTACTTCCTAAAATACCATTTCTAATGCACTGCTATTTTATACAAACCTGAGTTACATCTGTGCACGCATACAAGCATTCTCCTAATAAAAGTTGATCTATTTGCCTATGATTAAAGCTTAAAAAAAAAAAAAATCCTTCAAAAATTTCCCTTAAGTCCTTTCCAAACACTGTTTTTATGAACTTCTAGAAGAATGTGTTGCAGTGCATTAAACCAGCCACTTCAGTCCTCAGACCTAATTAGAGGAATGTGCATTCAATTTGAAACAAGAGTTACCATAAGAGATTCTGGACGCTAAATATGATCCAGGTGCACACTTTTTTTTTGCTACAACAACTAATATGTTGAGTGGCGATCGTGGGAGAAAGTATTTGGCACAATTATTTTTTGCAAGCTTTCCAAGCCCTTTCTGTGTACTTTATATAGCGTATCAGTGTGCTTTTCACTTAATTTCAATGGTTTGATAAAGCTTGTTAAATATAAACTTGGCTTTTTTTCCTCTTGGAGAATTTTATAAGCTGAGCAAGCCAATACATCAACACTACCATATTCTCAAAGTTCATAAGCAAAGTTCTTCACAGATGCATGAATCTGGGGGAAAATATTAAATAACTGCATAAGAATGATTTCCTTCCAGCTTTTGAAACGTTTGGGAAAACAACAGGGCTTTTTTTTTCTATTTACTTGCTGAGTTTGGGAGCATAAGAAATTGCATGTACATATATCAGCTTGTTCATAATAAACAGAATAATTGCTGTTTTGGTGTTACAAAACAAAAAATAGAGTGCAACTTCATGTTATTAGTAATTGATATTACTATTAATAATGCAGTTCTCTGGCTTACAACAAACACTGGTTTTGCACTGTGAGTACACTTGCATATCCACTCAATAATCATGATCAAGCCTCCCAGTTGCAAAAAAATAACAACAAAAAAGGACATGGAATTTTTTGACTGAATAGTTACGACTGAAAGGGTTAAATCTCGCTTCCAAAAAATCCCCACAAGTAACGAGGTCTCACACAGAACCAGTAGAAAACAGTTAAAAGTAAGGGTAGTCCAGAGGTCAGTCAGACTGAGGAAACAAGAATAAATCCAGTTTTCCTCCAGGGAAGATTTTGATATGTGCTGGGCTAAAAAAGAAGAGGCAGCAGAGAGGGACACTTCACCCTTTTGTCTGGACACACAGAGTGTCCAAGATATGTTTCCTACAACTCTGTAGATTTAAATTCTGTGGAAAGATGTATCTCAGGAAGGGCTTTCATGGACTGTCCCACCCTTTACAGCACCACTTGCATACAAGGGGAGAGATGCTACCACTCTGAAGTCCAGTCTTGAATTTCTCAGGCAGTTAAAGGGCTCATTAACTTTGACCAAAGTCAAGCATCTTACTGTATATCTTTCCAGATTTTCTGCAAAGTAACCTGTCTGTTTTTCCTATGAACATCCATTCAGGAGGTGCAGAGTGCCAACTGAGTTTCAGGGAAACACAGCTAAAACAAGTAGTCAACAGAAGCTTGCATATCAGATCCAGGGATAAAACTCACTGGAAGATTGACTGAGGGTGTGATTTGTAAGATTCCTATATTTTATGACTGAACTCCACGGTGTCAACAGGAACAAAGTGCCTATCTTAAATGCTTCAATATTAAAACATTTTAAAAGATGCCAGAACAGTGAAGACAAATGAAATGCTACTCTAATGACATCAAGGAATAACAAACTGGTCATTCTTTTCTTTTAGCATTTCCCTTTTTTCAACAGCTTCAAGGATCACACAACTGCATTTACTGCACTAAGGACTTTTCA